AATGTTTTAAATTATAAAAACAGTTCACCGCACGTGCCATCATCTGTTACAAAGTGTCGTCTGCTTCTTCATCAAAAAACTGATCTGATTAATGAAATATTGATCGCTACTGATAATTATCATTTCGTGATGAACAATTTTAAACGTTAGAAAATTTGTTATTTTCTGATTCTCGTTAGATATTATCAATTAGGCAGATGTAATATAACAGTCGTTCTGTGCGAGCAGACGATAGTTAAGTGATGGGTTATCACGCTCTGCTGCATTAATTTTATGGAAGATAAGAATGTAACAATATTACCAGCACGAAGTGAGAACAAAAAGTAGATAAAAATAACATGAAAAAAAAGAATATATAACATCAAAGCATATTCATTACTATTACGACACTGCATGTCAACAATTAAATCTATCTACCAAAGTTTTATTGTCTATCATCATTATTATCAGCTCAATTACCAAAAGCATTAGCTTCATTATCATCATCACGATCATCATAATCATTATCTTCATTAGATCATCATAATCTAAATATAGAATCAGTATTTCTAATTGCAGAATTAGACCTGTAATACAGTTAGCTAGTTAGCTGCATGTATAATGCCAAGAGAGTTCCTTCAGTTAAACGACTTCTTCTTAGTTTCTTGAAATGATTAGGACATAGATGATATATGTAACGTCTTCAGCCCCTCCATCGCTGCCTTTAGTGGTTTGCTTATGCTGAGAAGTTGACAGTTTCATGCGGGGATGAGACGAATGAAAAAAGTACATAGAAGTTTAGTACACGGACCAGCAATACACATTGGGTAACTCCCAACTAAATTATTTGACTTCAACTAAGGACGCTGGATGTTTACTAAAATCATGACTAATACAAAATATGTTGCTGTCCTTGATTGTTTGAAAGGGATTCAAATGTCAGTCTTTGTGCACTTGACCTTTTCAGAGTTCACGTATTAAGCGCCAAGGATGTTGACAATTTGAAAACACTTGATTTAAATGGTCGATCGTTTTTAAAGTATTATCATAGCATTATATTACGTGTGTGGGATACTCACTTTTTTCCGCATTTGAAATAATAGTGTGGGGAAACACAAAGTGTAAAAAAAAAGTTTCTCTATAAAAATGATACGAGTTATAAGTGTCTTATTTATATTAAAATAATAGGTTAGAACTTAGACATAGAAGTGATTTAGGTTTAATAATATGAGAGTTAACATTTCGTTTTTTATACATACACATGTATTTTTATACCATTTCCCCGGCAGAGTGCAGGGATAGTGAGAGAGAATTTTGAAATGACTGTTCCGACAGGGTGGGGGTCTTTTAATATAGAAGTTTGATTATCAAAAGGGAACAATTTCTGGCTCTCCAATGGGTAAAGAGCACGCAGGAATAAGGTAACAACTGACTGGTGGTGCAATAGACGATGTTGAAATTATGACTCGTATTATAATTGGTTAAATGAATGCGGTATCAGTTTCCATATTCCCCCATTATTCATATTTGTATGGATGATCTTATATAGGGCTATATCTATATCATTAAAAAATTGAACATTCTTTTTTTGCAGACGACTTTCGAAATATATGACAAATAAAGTATAATAATGTCAAAGTTGGGTCGACTCATCCAACGAAGGACAACGGCTTTTTATTATAGTCGTAAAACTGTAATATGAATCTGTGTTTTTATATTCATATATCTCAAATATATAAAGATATTAGGAGATGAATAAAACCATTGTAAACACATAAATGACTCGACTGTTGATCTTTCGGATACGCATAATGCCTTAAAACCATCCGATATATACACACTTTATACGGCGGTGCCAACGTATAGATATATTTCCAAACTAAATTGGTTTATTACAATGCCATATGTATATATTTTGACAATAGATAGGTACTGAATTAAAATTTTAATTAAAACCATTGTTCGGTTTCAGGTCAACCCTATAAGTTAGATAGAAAGTTGATAATCTATGAATAGTATTTTGAAAACAAATTTTCGGTCAAGAGTTGATATTAAAACGAACAAAATAAATAAACAGGTGAGCGAAAACACGGTTATACTTCAACTTATTTCATCAAGTACTGTTTAAAAGCATTTTTGATCATGTTTAAAAACACTAATAAATCATTAATAAAAATAATTTGTCAACATATAGTACGTAAATAGTTCTGAAGTATACCTGTCCAAATATATTTTTACAAAACATCAAAACTTTGGATAACCGTTGAACTTTTTTTTCTCTCCAGTATTTCCAACTAACACCACACACCACATATCTAATTTCATAACTAATAATCAGATAAAAAAAAGAACTCTGGGGAAAATTCTGGAACATTAAATTGAGATTTTAATTTTGATTGAAGATATTACCCGAAAGGTCGGCACAATTTTTGACTCAGTCTTTTGATGAAGATTTGATTGAGGTATTAATGTGACTTAACATGAATTGAAATTTTAAATCAAACCGCCTTGTGAACTTGAAAACCACGGTCATAAAATCAATCTAACGTTTTATTGACTTCAATAAGTTACATCAACCTGTAAGCTAGCTAAGTGCCAAATCTTGACATTTTAATGAGAAAACTTAAAATAGGATAGTCTAATAGCTTCAAAAAAATTTTTTTTAATCCACTTTCTGGAGTATTTATACGTTTTGAAATTATAGAGAAATAGCTCGTTTTCTTCGTTCTTGATTGAAATGAAGTTTATTCACCAGCGTACATCGCTATTTCAGAGATTTCCCGTAAGCTATATACCTGAGATCCGGTTAGTGTGAATGTTCATAGATTCGGTAAAAATTCTATTATTTTTTTTCTTTTCTTCCTGAAAGGCTGAACATGAATTAGTATCTATTGTGAACAACCTATGGGTTAGGGTTCATGTTTAGGAGTTTATTTATTAAACGTTATTCAAAGCTGATTTTCAGCGAGTTAAATTCGTTAATCTACGAATGTTCATTTTTCAACACCACAAAGTTAATTAATAAGGTAAATTCGCAGTTCGAACCCCGAAGTCCCTCGTATGATACATGAATGAACTCAGTACAGGCAGGCCGCCGACACGGCTGTACCAAAACATTGAAAATAATGAGGAGGCTACGAAATATAATATATTATGCACCAATTAGTTATGATCAAGTGGAAAAAACAAATTGCTTTGTCACTTCTCAATTTTTGTCATTAAACAAAGCTCGAAAGAGAAAATTTCCGACTTTTTAAAGAAAATTCATTTTGATGGAATACCGCCGTTATTGATTGCAGAAATTTTGATAAATAACCAAGAAAACAGTTTAAACTGAAAAACAATGCGCCTTCAATTCATCATTGGGACGGTGATTAGTTCGCACTATTTTCTCAACATTTCTCCCCAAAAATAAAGTAACATTCTTTTAGCTATGAGGATGAGAGTTATGAGTTAATGAACGAGCGAGTTTATGATACAATAACTTTTTATTGTGTTATATTCATTTACAGTTCAATCTCTAAAATACAGACATGAGGAAAAAAAGACAGAATTGTGTCGCCTCATCGGAGAGATGCTGTAAAATAAATTGTTTTTTATCTGGACTATTAGCAAATTTTCAATATTCATAAATTGATGTAAAATTAATGTTCCCCGGCTTTTATTAATACCATGATTCAAAAACTTATAATAGTCGTTTTAAAAATACAAATTGCTTTAAAGTTAAAAATATTGGATCAAAATAGTGTTATCATTGTTAAATCTTTTTTTTTACATTTAAAGTTTTGTCATATTTTATTCTACAAGAACTTGGTGATTCGAAAGACTGATTTACAAAACGACGCATATTAAATATTGATAAATATTGACAAACATTCTTAATGTAGTGTATTTAAACATGAATAATTTGTGTATTAAACAAACATTAGAAAAACAGATTTTTATAGAAGGCAGTGTACATGTATAGAAAATCGAAAAGTTCAGTCAGATGTAGATGTATAAAAGGTTCTTTCAAATCCAGTCAGTCATGTGTCAGTCGACAATGTCCTGTACAATGACATACTTGAGTTCGAACCTCTTCAGAGGACTTTTGATCACCGTGTTTTATTTGATATGAGTGTAAATATGAGTATTATATATATCACTGTCTTTCAGATATTATTTTTATTTTACAATGGTGATAATGTAAAAACTGTTAATAAATGTTTAACAATAACTTCCTTGGTTATCTAAACACGGAAAAATATCATTTTAACATTTATGTTACTGCGTCAAACGTTCGAATATTGCTTCAACTGTTTAATTCGATTTATCAAAATATCAGTCGCCTAGGAAATAGCAAATGTTGTTTGTTCGGGAAAGCATAATATAATTCATTATTTTTATAGCATATGTAAATATGGAAAGAAAGCACTGTTTTCACAACATTTTCAGCATGTATTCATCAATCTGGAGTGATGACAGGACCAGACAAGAGATTCATAGAACCGAACAAAATATTTCTAGGGAAAATGGACAACACGCTGATGGATGATTACAGTACGTGAGAAAATACGATAAAATATTCACAAAATTCTATCGACTCTCATTGATAATTGTGCTATGTCTAACCAATTTTGTGAGATATGCTTAGAAGTATATTCTTCTTAAGAAAATTGCATGTAGGGAATATTCATGTATAAATAAACTAATGGACTCAAAGTTCAATTTATCCGACTTCCAAACACTAACAGTACATGTTCATGTATATAGGAAAATGCAGGTGTAAATATATTGGAAACTTATCAATAGTGTTATTAAATCAGTGGGTATCTTGTGAGGTGGTTAATCTATGATTTAGAATATGTTCTTTGAGTGATCACAGACACACAGGGTTTAATTAACGGTTTGTAATTAAACGTTAGGCGGTCGATCTGTATAGCTTAAGGGAATGAACATTGCGAGGCGTTTAGGTTTAAAAATATAAGATATGTAAGTCTATAAAAGATATTTTATACATTAATATGAAGGAAAACACTTACCATTTGAAGCAATTTAAGTAGCTGTGCCGGTGTTTCTACGCAGCATTCCTCGTCTTTTCTGCCATTAACTCCACGTTTTCGCACAAAATAATCCAACATTTGGTCTTCTTCCACACTAGGACCTAATCGCACTTCGTTGCATAATAAACACAATTCCTCTTTTTCAAGAACTTTGTTCATCTGAGCACCGACTTTTGGCGGATGATTATGATTTTCAATGTCCCATTTGAGATTTGCGAATAGCACTGAGAATGTAATGACGAGTATTATAAAAGTTAAGGCGAGAAGTAAAGCCAAGCCCAAGATGTACGTTTTTAACTGAGCAATTTGTCGTTTTACTCCCATTTGTGATTCAGCCTGTAAATTGTTCATTTTTCCATTATTACTTCCACTACCATTTTTAATGAAAGCCCTCGCCTCTTTTTCCTGGTCGTTCATTTTACGTGCGTTGAAAAATAATACAAAATATTCCTGTGAAAAATCAAGAGTGAAATTAAACGATAAACGATGTTTATTTCAGTTAAGTGACATTCAACAGCTTTTCTATAAATAACCCCACGCGCGGCTAGAAAACACAAGTGTACAGCATCTGAAACATTCACTGTCAATCAACAACATGTATAAGACAGCTGATATGTGTGTATTCAACCAATTTGTTACGCTTCCGCCACGTACATTAAACCAAAATACAAACTTGGAACTAATCCGGTTATGTTAATCCCATGTAGACATGTCTCGACCTTTTAACGGAATGAAAATTCCACCTATTCAAAATATAAGTAATGTTTCGATATGCATTATACAAAAAGTAACCACCGATAGCACCGTAGTGTATTGAATCGCCTGTATTTTGCCACGTGACGCTATTATCCAATCAGAAGCGAGCACTCGTTATTTACAAAAAGATTTTTCCGATATTCGTTAATGTAAAGGCGTGTTGCACTGTAAAAGATTTGTCATGAATTAATAATCGTAAATTACTTTATTATTTAATACGAAATGAAGGTTTTAATAGAATGGGTTTAAAATATAGTATTGAAATAACCCTGTTCTAATTTTACTTATTGTACAATATTTACGACAAATAAGAACATTATTGCGAAATTATAAGTCACAGATAAATAAGAGGTGATTTAAAAAGTTAAATGACACTTAGCAGTGTGACCCGAAATTCCCATCTATTTATTTATTTTACACCACTCACTGCTTTAAAGTTCAATGTTAAACAAATATAAACTTAAAATCTACCATTCAATCTTTACATATCCAGTTTGATAAATTCTAAAATAATGAACGATTCGACAATGGTTATAAACGAAAGTGGAAATCCTAGGATTGATCAGTGAATGTGACGCCAGTTACTTACTTAAAATGTTAAATATAAATACAACATATGCACAAACACAGTGTCAATTTTATCTATGATTTTAACATGTACTTGAATAAGTTAAAATTAAATGAATTATAGGACACCCGTTTCTTGTTCTAAAAGTTAATTTGTTTACGAGCTACGATGTAAGGTTTTGCGACATGTCGGCAGAAAATATATCTACATGTATATTAATATCGTCGGATACCCACGGCCGAACCGTGGATATCCGACGATGATATTTTAAATCTAAGTAATAACCATGAAGACGTGTGACTATAAAAGTAACTTTTATCAACTTAAATCAAATCTGCATAGAAATGCAGATTCTTGTATCTTTTAATAGATACTGTACCTGTTTAATAAATGTACTAATAATGTAAGTTAAATATCTGCCTTAAACCCCATTTATTAAAAATTATTAATCCTTTAAAATACTTTTATGATTAAACAACGCACCTATCCTTTTTTATCCTTCATAAATTTTCAATAAAACTTTTATACTATATTTATAGTAAAATCGTTAATAATGTTAATAAAAGTCACGTAATATTATTAATATAAAACTATTTGGTATCTTAAACTGAACCAAACAGCCACTTTATTGACCACTGTTGCTTGACCAGGGGCGAAATAAAGTCGGTTTATGTGACACAATGTTTTATATTTACGTGGTCATATTTTTATGACCCATTTTTTTATCCTGTCCCATAACTATAAATTGATAGCAAAGATCGGCTTTCAGCGGAAATACCTTGATACGTGAAACTTTTGATGTTTTATTTGACTATAGATTTTATGCAAATTATTCGTTGTGAAGATATCTGTGTCATCTCCGCTGTTTAATTTTAATGCATAGAATGTCTTGACTGCGTCATGGTTGTGGTACATATTTTTTGCTACGATTCTGTTATATTTTAAGTTGTATATGGGTGACAATTGTATAGGATGTTCGTCTCGTTGTAAGGTCAATGTAGGTAATTGAATTTTAATATATAAAGTAAACATAGATCGATCAATATTGGTCTGATTTGTACATTTTACGTTATACAGTAGGCCGTCAATAATTAGCCACAAAATGTGTCACTGTCAAAACTTGCCAAATTTCTGAAGCACCTACTTAATGTAAATATGTCTTTTAAGTTCAAACACTTCGCTAAAACACTCCTTTATCTACTATGTCTATTAATAATCAAATCTGAGTGGTAAAGTTCATTTTATATAATAGTAATAGTATATTTACTTGTATATTTTAAACTGAAATTTGATGAAACGAAATTACTTCAAATAATAAACGACTTTACGTTCGATACGCCACACGTATGTTTTATCTATAGTGAAACTTTTTGATTTATTAAAGTTTATTTAAAATGCAAAAAAAAATCAGAATTTCGATTTAGGTGGCTGTTTATTCAATACCCCTGATAGTTTAAAACGCGTGCTTACTAAACGAATTGCGTTATAAAAAATAATTGGTTATTTAAGCTGTGAGAAAACAAGTTATTAGTTTTCACTGCCGTGTTTGGGTCATATAGAGAACAATGTTTTCACAATTTGTTAGCCACGACATAAGGGACGGACGGCTATTAACCCGTCCCCACTCTAATCATAAAGGGGCACTCTAATGAGTTGGGACATAACGTATCAACTCAACTGGTTAAAGGAGACATTACAAAACAAAATTAACTAGTCCCTAATCATAAGGAATGTGAAATTAATTTACTATTTGGAGTATGAAAGAAACCCGCGTTTAATAAATTAAAAAAGTTTTCTTTATAATTAACTGTACGCAATATTACCACCGTAATGTAAACTCTCAACAAAGAAAATCGTAAAATAAATAATCTTAACACCTATCTTTTCTTCACAAGATAATAATTTAAAAACATTGCACCCTTTATTCTAAAAAAAGATTTAAAGTCTCACTTTTTTAATGAGTTTAAAAGGAAAATGTCAAATTCTTTTTTAAACCAACACTTAAATAAATAAGTGGTAAAAATTTCCCCATTACAGATAAGTATGGTTACTTATGTTTGTTATAATTCGGTAAATCGTTTTCCGTTATAACGCCACGGGGGTGTACGGTAAAATCACAAGTATGTTTTATATCTGAATAAGGACTGCAAGACGTACTTTATCACGCTTTGATTGTAAGATAAAAAGATTGAATACCTTTTAGCGAACGTTCATTGTGCGCATAAAAACGGGCCGATTCGATTAATTATACAGATAGGTTTATGCTAATCATTTAAGATATCCAACATTGTGTCTTGTTTTGTTTAAAAACAATTCTATCGCACAAATCTGGCTATTTTTTCTTTTATTTACTATCTTTCTCTCAATCATTCAAGAGTGCGTAACTCAGTGCAATTATTAGGTAAGACAGTCATACACAAGTTACCTCCCATTTTGATTACTTCAAGAGCATATCTTAATATTTTTTTCTTCTTCTAAAACATATTTTAGTTTTCAAGAGCATATCTAGATATTTTTCTTCTAAAACATGTTTTGATATCATACAACAGATATATCCTCAAATAAGTAATATATTAATTATTCTTACATGTTGATTATTACTGGGAGATAAGATTTAAGAATTCCTTTCTTATCATAAAATAAGGTTTCAGGTTACCACGAGGGCAGTAATAATCTCTGACTTGTCAATGCTTTGTTTGTTTACATGAATGTATATTTAAACTTTAAAGCAAACATTCAACAATACTCTATTCACAGCCACGTATTAAGGTTTTTCTATACATCTACAGCTATCTTAAAGGATCAAATATATAAATATCTATATTATATTATACATGTGTACGCATGCGTTTCCATATATATGACAATAAACAGAACATTCGTATACAATTAAATGGCACCACAGGTAGATTTTTTAAAATTCGACACCTTAGATACGGAACATTATAAGTTCAAATGTCAAAAAATCAGTGTGGGGTGTTTTTTTCCATAATTTAATATATAGGGGGAAATGAAATTAAAAATGTATTGCATATTACTAAAACAAATTGATGAACAAAATGAGATAATGGAATAAAAGGGAATTTTCATTTTCTTATTGATAAATTGAATATTATTATATTGTATTAACTGTAGAAATTAATCATATATATTTGTAATTTCATATTTCAAAAATAACCTTTAATGCACTTAGAATGTATTTTCTTAATATGTCTCTCGAGGATACGCAAAATAAAACATAAATATATTAAAATAAGACAAACTAAGTGATCATTGCATATAACCATTTAATTGTATGAGTTTCCGTAATATTATGTTTACACTAAGTTCGCGGCAGTAACGGTCATCCCCTTTTGCACCATGGGCATTTGGCTATTTTCGTCTCCGTATCTAAGTTTTATTAAGTTGTGCTGAGTGTCCCCATGATTAATTGCAGTATCCGTGGCGTTTCGTTTGGACAAAGAAGCGTCTCCTCTAAGACACATTAAGGTTCGGACTGCGGTCTATCAAGGAATGCACGTATATTGCCCATGGGTTGGGAGTCCTCCTGTTATTCACTTTTCATTAAAATCAGATGCGTTTTTCACGTACTGTCACGGCCTCCTGTAGTATCTTGTAGACTAGATGGATAGTTTTCTCACTTAAAGGTCCCCAACGTACCTGACGAGATTCAAGCAAGTAATTCAGAGTCAACTACTTTAACCACTCTATGACGGAGGCCAAGGTAAGGTTAATATTCATAAAATATTTTTGCTGGAGATACACAGCTTTATACACTTTAACAAGACATAAAGAGTATTATTAAGCATTTTTAAAGGTTAACAAATCTGATTATACCAACACTTGCCACAAAATAGTCATGCGAATTTCAATGAAATTATAACGTACATGGCCGTTAGTTTATACCAATATATTTTAGTTCAATTGTGTTGGAAGCTATAAGCTTATAAAAACACTCTCGGATCCGTTCCTGGAACAAAAATGTAATAAACAATAAGTGTAAAGTAGCTCACGGAAACAACGGTTTGCCCCTGACGAGGCTTAAAACGGAATCCCCAATGATCGCTCAATAATAATTGAAAACGTTGCAGGCTCGGTTTCATTGAGACGTTCATAGATGATAGTGAAAATACCTTCCGCGCCCGTCACTCATTTTCTGGTTACGACTTTCCGGTCCATGTAATACAAGATTAATATAGTTTAGGGTACCTAATTTATTTCAGGAATGAGTTTGTACCTTGGTCTTACCGCTGGCCTTACTTAAGCTAGCTAGAAAGAATTATGAATGGCCACTTCCAGATTCGAACCCATAGTGGGGCATTTATCTAAGATAAGACACGGATTTATTTTTTCTAATTAGGTTAAACTTACTGAATTCATTCAAGGTCATGACGGGATTTATATCTCAAACGAATGCAGTAAATGATACATATCTTATTTATAATGTATGTTTTGCAATAACACCATAAGGAATGCATCTATCTGTTATGTAAAATGTACG